ATTCGTTAATTAACGTACGTATTATTATTATTTTAAAAGAGAAATCTTGCGTATAATTGCGGACTGCCGGTCTTTTTTCCGCACTTTCGCCTCAGTCCTCGCAGACTTATTGCAATGGCTAGAAAAGATGTAAAAATTGGTGAATCGTCCGTCTACAAGTCGTCTACAATTAGTTGTTCTCATCATCATCCTACTTTTCGTGTGGTCGCCATTGCGATCTTTGTTTTCAGATGACAGCGAAAATTTGCCACTGCACAGTCGATCCACTCCGTCCACTCCGTGTAAAAGAAGCACCAGACATATGGGACTAGCTTATCAGCTTATAACGTGTTCAAAACAGCCAAGACGGTCTCGTATAATTTGAGAGCGTGAGGAAACGCTGAAGCTTACTAGCTGTTTGAAACTTACCGACTTTTGAATTAGTTGACCAATGTCTAAAATCTGTAAATTTTGGCAATTTTTGAGTTAACTCAAAATCTCACAGTAAATGTATCCGTTGCAGAATTTTTTTCCAGCTGCAGTAGTCGGTAGAATTCGCTGAATATATGCTGAGATAATCGTTGGAGTTTACAACCATTTAGTTGATTTGACGTTTTTAACTGAGATAATTTTGGAAAGCTTGCTGGCCAATAGAAGGAGCGAACCTTTTGCTCTGAAACGATTTTTTGTAGCTATTGGTTTGTCTTTCAAAATTTCTAGAAAATGTTTTTTGAAGCGACGGGGTTTTATGTTAGGTGGGTTCGGAAGTTTGTGCCGTTTCTCAGGCCTATGCTGAAATCATTCAAAATAGCAATAGACAAACATTCTAAAAAGTGTTCTATGCAGATCTTCCTTTTTTCAGCAATAATATTTTGTACGGATTCCTTCAATGCTCTTTCGAATAATCGCCAAATCTCCAACCCATGCATTTCACGCGCCCTAAATTGCTATTAATTGAAATTTTCGTCTTGGACTTTTGAAAAAGCTTCGACAAGATAGAGTAAACAAAATGCTACAAAACCCAAGTTTATTGGCATAAATATTAGTCGTCAAGAAAATAATGCCGTTTTTTTTCGGTTTTCAGGTAAAATTGATATATCTCGAAAACTAGGACATATCCGAGGCCAAAACTTTATGCTTAAAGTTGAGAAGCTTTGTAGTATACAATAACATGTGTGGAAGGGTCCCAGTACGACTAGGGGCGGAGTTTGCCATTTTCATTTTTTAATTTTTTCTTGGTTTCTAAACATGGAAAAAATATAGCAAGTGTACCTATGGATAAGTGCTTGTGTCTATTACATGCGGGGGCAAGTGAGAGGTTCGCAAGATTTTTTAGGGCGAAAATCCAGTTTTTGGCATCACGAGTTGCTCATATGTTTTGGCTCTGAACTTTGCGTAAACAACAGCTTATGCCAATATTCGGATGTCATCTTGAAGAACTTCCTTTGCCCTATCGAATGGTACCCCTCAAATATTTTTCAGGAATTGTCTTATGGCTTTGCTATGAAAAACGACATTATTTTCTTGACAACCTAATAGTTGAGATTTCAGTATTCTTAAAAACAAGTTTTCTACTTCACATTTGCGAAGTCGTAAATATACATACGCTCTAAGCGCTATGAAATTTTCGCAAATAATTCCCAAAAACCGAATTTAATTAAGCATAATTCTCAACAAACAAATGGGTTTTTACCGCTTCGAAATATTGATTTTTGAAATCTTCGGTTGTAGCAATAATTTTGAAAAATTTGAAAAGCCAACTATCAATAAAAAAAACTCCATTGCTTTGCATGTTTACTCCATCTAATATTAAAGCGAATTCAAGAAGTTCAGGACGAAAATTTGAAAAATAGCAAGAGCTTGTAAGAACTAGGGGTTGAAGATTCTAACGATTTTCCAAGCAAACATAAAAAGAATCCGAACAAAAACTTCACTGGTGGAAGAGGAAAATTCAGTATGAAACTACTTAAAGTGTTTTTTCTATCTTTATTCTGGATAATTTGAGAATATGTAGGTGCAGAAAACGGCACGAACTTCCGGACCGATATAACCTAATCAAACCTTATGAAACTCAAAGTAAACAGTGTAGGTAACCAAATCAGGGCCAAATTCTAAAGGGTTTGAAATGCACAGTAAATTGAAAATTCCAATTTCTTTCAAAAACTCCTACGAACCCCTAAGTTGTTCAAGGATATTCTCTGTGTGAAATTTGTCATGCAGAGTTTTTCCTTTTTCCTTTCCTTTTACTTTTCCCATAACTAGGAATCGAAAAAACTAACTTTTTGGGAATTCCATAATGCTTAGCGGTTCCCACTTGAAGAAATTCATACTACTAGCCTTTTTGCAAGCCGCACCACAGATTTTCAACCTTTTACAAAGGTTAGTCCTCAGGAAAAATCGAGTACAACTTTTTTTCCAGACTTTTTATTATGACACTGATCAGTCTCGAAAAGTATTCTTGTATAAGGTTGCAAATCTGTGGTGATGCTTGGAAAGGTTTTTAGTAAAGATCTTTAGTGGAACCTATCAAGCACTTCGAAAAAATACCAGAAAGTTTTCGTTTTTTCGATTCCTAGTCATGAAAAAATCAGCAACAATGCGTATGCATATTTCATGTGCATGGAGTCTTTGTGAACGAGCTAGGCTTTTGGAAGAAAGATATAATTTTTTCTCGATGTGCCGAGCATTTGATAACCTTCAGATGTCGGCTTTGAATTACACGTATTTCGAACCCGGTGCGATAAACTATCTTGTATCAGGTTGCTAATAAAATAGCGTCGTTTTTCATTTGCTTCGGCTCCGCAAATGGGCACTTCCCAAATTTTGCATGAGGGGTACTGTTCGATAGAACAAAACGAGCGCTACAAGCCCACATTCATGCTTCCGCGTCTAGGTGTTCTATAAAGTTGAAACAAAATTTAAAAGTTTTCCTGACTAAAAACTGAAAATCGAAAATTTTCGCGCTTTTCGCAAAACAGTGCTGGGCCAACTTAAAGTAGGTAATTCTATATTATGTGCCTTTGTAAGTATGATTGTAAATTCTAGCTTTTTCGAGCGCTAGTTTTCGAGAAGTTTTGTTTTTAGCGGAAAACCGCAAAGGAGCTAAATTCAAATTTCTTATAGCGCTTGAACAAGCCTAAAAATTTGTAGCCAAATAAAGGACTTGAAGTATAGAATTGTCAATGTCAGAACGGCCCAGCACTGCCTTGAGAAAAACAGGAAATTTCCGATTTCTCTGTTTCTAGTCAAGCAAAAGATACAGCAGCAGTATATATGAGTGATAGCACCCATGTGTGCGAATGGGAGGTCCGCTCTGAAAGTTTTCAAAAGGAGATCCGAATTTTTCGAATTTTTGGGCAACTAAAGCTTTCTAAAGTTTGATTTCTAACTTCACGGGGAACAACCTTGGCCCGGAACCATCAGCACTTTTGTAGAAACTGCTTTGCCTATCGAACAGTACCCTTGTTCTTAGGATTCGCCTTATTGCGGTGCCATAGCAAGCAAATAAAAACGACATTATTTTTTTGACAACCTGATAGAACCGCTCTGTTCTAACACATGATTCACATGGATTTTTTCTGGTTCTTACGTTGCTTCAATATCGCATGATAGCGTAATATGAGACATTCTTTCCCTTCAAACCAACAGTAATGAACAAGTTCTAAAACCCGAGTATTCTGGTGTTACAATCTCTGCAAAACTAAACACTTTTGAAGAAATGATAGCAAAAAAAAAGTTGCATTAGTTTAGAAAGGTTTGGCCCCACCTGCTGGCTATGAAAGCTTTACCAGAAGTCTCGAAAACTTTTGAAAGTTAGCGGCTTTTCTACATGGTAAAAATGAAGCCGGTTATCCCTCTGTACTCTCTCGACTAATTACATTGATATTGTGGCACTTCTGGGAACAGCAAAAAATTCTGCATTGAATCCAACTTAAATCGTTTGTTTATTTTCATTCTACCGCGTTTACCGGTGGATAGAGATTGACGAAACTTTTGCACCGACCTAATATTTACGAATCTGCCAGTCTTTTCATGTTTGACTTCAAGCAACACTTTTGAATTCAGGATGATTAAACTGAACAAACAATGAAATTAATTCATACAGCTTCTTCGAAATGTTTTTATTTTTTGAAACATCATAAACCCAAATTTGTGCTTTTTGGTGTCCATTTGGTAATAGAAATTGCCCCTTTTGACAAAAATCCGCCTCACTTGCCGTAACGGTTACTCGTCAATTCGTTGGCTGCATAGACTGGACGTCACTGCGGAGTCGCGCCGCGAGGTAAAATGCTAGCCCCAGTAAGTTTGCTCTATACAAGTTGTGCTCTCGCACAATTTAGCCGCGCCGCACGCATTCCACGGCGTTTGGGCTGTTCATGCGTTTAAAGAGTCGATAATATATTCTCCGCTTTAAGATGAACATTAGAACTTTCCACTCCGCAGAATTTTTTGTGCGCGAGTACTTACATGTTTATTACACAATTGACCGAGATACAGGTAATCATGAGAAAAATGCATAGAAAAACTAGACTGATCCAGAAAGTAACAAAATTTCTTCGGCACTCAAATTTGCTTCTCCATAATGGCTAAAAAAGTTGAAGAGAAGCAGGGGCTTAGCACTGGGCCCGTATGCAGGTCGTTTTGAAATGCTTGTGTTTTGACACAACGGTTATGCATATGCATGTGCAGAACAATAAACAATGTAACAGAGCAATTCTGTAATCACAATATGGGTTTGTTTAGAAATATATTCACATCGATTTATATCACATCTCAATTTGATGCCATATCAATTTAAGGAACTAGGCAAATAAAATCTCCCCACTACCAACCTTCGCTAACATCTTCGGTGAAGCCGGTTTGGAAAAAAGACTCGTAGCTCCGCGCCCCGCCCTGCCGCCCCCACGCTCTTCCATATGCAAATAGATTCTTGTAAACAAAAATGTCCTCATCTTCCTTGATCAAAGCAACACTGAAAAAAAAGTAGCATACGGACAATTAAATACCAATAATTTTTACAGTTCTTCTGTGCTCCCAGAAAGATAGTGACCAAACAGATGTTTATAGACGATCAATTCGAAAAACATTCTCCAAACAAACTGCGGTAAGCACTTTCGTTACGCTCTCTTATTTTGTGACGTATTAGAATGAGATAAGCACTTCCAGCTTGTCGTGGTCAGCACAGAAACCAAAAAGTTAACCTAGAACAAGAGAAAACCAATTATTTGCTCTCCAGCACTCTGCAAATATGCATTGAACGCTTCCTACTACTTTATCACTTAAAAGGTAGTAAATGCGCGAAAAACTAGGCAAACACTTGCGCAGGTCGACCAGCCGGCAGGCTCTGCTTAAATATACCCAAATTGAAATTTATGAAGGCACGTGGTGGATCAGGCAAATTTGCCCTCCCCCCCCCCCCGAAAATGGGTCGCGAAATTTTTGGAACTTACCTACATTGGCTACGAATATGTGCAAATGACTTGTTTATTTTTGTGAATAATTAAAATAATTTTTAAAATTTTTCAGAAATTCAAAACCTTGTAAAGAAATTCTTTCGGGGGCATGGCGACAGCTACGCCGCTTTTTTCCAGATTTTAGGGGCTGTGGGCCAGCAAAAATTTTGAGATGCACCCCAGAAAATTTTTCGGAGTGCGCAGCTGACTCCGCGCACCTTTATTTCAAAAAAAAATTTTTTTGCTCCCCCCACTGACCAAAATCCTGCAAGATTGCGGTCAGCTGGGACCGCCACTTGTCGTAGGATATCAAGTCAAAAGCTTAGTTTTTTACTTTCGGCATTTTTTAAATGCTTTGCCAGCTAAACCAAATAAGCTGTACACTGACACTACACTAACAAATCGCATAAATCGAGCAATCGAACGACGAGTGTCGCATGCGATTTCTCCATTTCCTAAGAGTGCCTTTGGCAGAGATGTGTACCGGTGCAGTAAAGTTCAGTTACCTTTCAGGCTTAATCCCTTATTTTTGACTTGAATGTATTTACTTATACTCAAAATGACCCATTGAATGTTTTTTTGCGGAAACAACATGGCCTTTTTCAAGTCAATAATTCTGACGGACATAATCATCTGAATTTTTGAGTTCAAAAATTGCTTGACATGCTCATAGCAAACATAGCACTTGCTGACACGGTGAAGTCTCTTTTATGCTGATGACAGAAATCACAGGCTTTTTCGCCATGCGCGAATTCACGGACGAAAACGAGATTTGATAAAATTTGACAACTAATCGATCATTACGGGGAAAAAAGTACATATATTCATGGTCGAATGAGAAAATATTGTTGCGGGAACAGGGCTCGGCATAGATGGCTACTAGAATCGTTTTTGGAACAAACGGCGAAGAGAAAATCTTTTTGTGGCCGAAAATAAACGAAAATTGCGACTTTTCAGTCGACGTTTCGTTTTTTGAGAATTTTTTACGTTTAGAGGTTAGGATCAAAGAGGACTTCGTAAAATTTAGCAAAATTCAAAAGGGAATTCGATTTTTGCATTTCTGACAGCCACATCGTGCTGAGCCCTGTGCGGGAAACGAAGACCAGGAAGAAGGGCGAACGACAACGTAGCGACCGTCATCATGTGGTAAAGAGTTCTACTGCGAAACGTTGGAAACCTTCGCTTTGTGTCCCCCATTCGTCCATCTTCTCGATTTGCATGAGATCTTGTCACTCCGACTAGCCATCCTACGACTACGAACTTCACGTCAGAAGTTTACCAGTATCATCAACTGCTGCTCACCAACATCAGCAGCTGACGATTCAGAATGAGATACTTTTTACGAAGACGTGGAGCAGGTCATCCGCAACGAAAACCCCTTTCACAAGCGTAGCGGCGACTTCAAAGCTAAAAGCAAGATGCTAGAAAAGGAAAGCTTGGGTATGTGCTTCGGAACGTAAACGGAAGCCGTCTTGTTGGGCTTCTCTCTGCCGCACGATTTGGAAATCCATCTTTATGAAAAAGAAAATCGTCGGTGGACAGGGGAATTGTCCAACGGAATGAGTCACGCCGAGATCGACCACACTCTCACCAACCGAATCTGGAATTTGGATGTATCTTTGGTTTCATCCTCCTGCAGTCGGGAACTGAAAGGTCTGCCACAGTGCTGCAAGAAGGGAAAATCTGTTATGACGGTAACAGGCTGAAAGAGCTGTCAAGTTATGACAGGACCATCGAGGAGATTCAACGTACGACTACGACGACTTCTGAAAGCATTGCCTGCGGAACCTGCGGAAAGTGCGCCCAAATGACTTCTGAGAAGAATTTCTCGAAAGAAGATTTTTGAGACAGAATCCGAAAGCAACCCATCTCGACGACTGATAGCCAACGCCAGTTGCAACATAGCTTCGCCGGAGAATCTCGGAAAGTACAAGCAAACCAACCCAAAGCAGCCGAAAGAGAACGAAGTCTTAAAAAGTGCCGAGAAGACCTCTGTGAATAATCACGTACCGCTGGCTGCGCTGTCGAGAAGGGACTTCGACTTAATCCGATACAAAATCAGATTAAACTAAATTAACGGAACTTCTACCTCAACTTCATTGCCCATCCGTGTCAATGCCCGTTGTTCTACCACCAAGAATTCCATCTGCTAAAGTGCGTAACCATGATACAGACCATGACTACGGCTCCAGGATCAGATTATTTTTTCGTCGAATTTCTGCAAGCCGGAGAACAACGTCTACGCGAGAAAGCGTCGCATTCTACATTTTGCTTTCAGAAAGAAAAGCCTCCGACCAGTAGAGAACATCAAGAACCGTCCTCCTCGAACGGGAAAATCTCGAAACTATCGTCCAGCGCGCCTGCTGATTGTGTCTGTACAGGCTTTTCACAACGATTATCCTCGCTCCATATCTGGGACATTGGATAGCGCAGCTCCAAACAAGCTGGATGACGCAAACGATTATGATGGATTACATACAGACAGTTTCAAAGGACATATTAGGTCGTTCCGAAAGCAATGTCGCTTTTTTCAAACAAACACCAAATTTCATGGAATCAAGATTTTCGAGAGATCTTATGAGTATTCGATGCAGCACTTCATCCTCTTTCAAATGGTTGTAATTACGCTGCATAATAGTTAGTGAGTTTTCGAAAAATTACCAGAATCTGCGCCTCAAGCGTTTTGCCATGGTCAAGTTCGGCTGTTTTTCTATATTGCACCTATTCTCCAAAGAAGCGCAAGTGACAGGTAGATAGAGTAAGCCCTACGCAAAACACAGTAATTCTTTTGTTTGCCTTAGCTTGCTTCTTAGAGTTTCTGGAAACAATTTTTCAATGCCATCAAGTTCCATATTTGGTCAACTAAACCTCACAGAACAACAACCGGCAAGCAACTCGGGTGTCATTTTACGCAGCTTTTCCTCCTCTTTTTATCAGTTGTTCTTTTTTCCAATTCCTCAGGTTTTCCGGAATAAAATCATCAGAAATCAGGTTTTCCAGGCTCCTCAGGCTGTACCCGGAATTTACAAAAGTTGCTAATCTGAGGCGGTGAATGTTCATTTAATTTGTAAAATTAGTGTCAAACCACATTCCATCCTTGTAAGTTTCGAAATCCAAACATTTAGTGGTGTTTGATGCATTTGTGTTTGAGACGAGCTTGCTAAAATTCGGTGGTTCCATCAAAAAATCCATACAAAAATTATGACGAGCTATAGAAAGTAGAAAAAAGCTGTGCTGTTTCCTGTAGGGTTTGCTCTATGCATCCAATACTTAGACTCCTTCCAAAGTTGCTAAAGAAATTTAGAAAAATTGTAAAACTTGGCCTTTTTAAAAAGCATGGGTCGCAGATTTTGATAATTTTTCGAGAGCTCGATGAATGTTATGCAATAACATCACAACTCTTGGAAAGAGGATGAAATGCTGCATCGAATGCTTTAAAGATCTCTTGAGAATCTTGAATTCATGAGATGTGGCGTTCATTTGAAAAAAGCGACGTTACTTTCGGGACGACTTTAGATGTCTGTCGAGAGTACCGACGTTTTTCGTCCTTACCTTTGTACTACTAGAAAGAATCAAACAGCTTTACTAATGCCATCCTGTCAGCGCTATCGGATTGCGAATAGATCAGAAGAAGACTTACTTTGCGAGAAACGCCCTTTGCGGAAACCCAGAAATGGAATTGGAAGGCACCCCTATTTTTATTTCATTTTATTGTAATACACTCTGGGTGTGCCGTTAGTAAAATTCAAACACTAATAGTAAACTCAAACGACAGCCAACTAGTCTCAATGAAAAACAATAAAACATTATTTCCGATGAAAGGCTTAAGTTTAACTCACTAAATCGTAGCACTAACCAATTATAAACGAGATAACCGCTTCGGTAGTTTTTGAATATCCTACTGTCTTTCAGAGATAAAGTTCCCAATCTTTTGAGGACCAGCGAGCCTACGGGCGGAGGCTAGCTGATTATATCCCCCATGAGACAAGCTCCTAAGGACATCAAGATAGACAAAAATGAGAACAAGATGAGACATAACAGCGAAAGACACCAGAAGGGCGTTCAGTCTCAACCGATGTAACTATGTTGTGATTCAATTACTAATCATATCAGGAAAACAAATTTTGAAATCGACCTTCCCAGTAGAGCGGGCTAGTCGTGAGCTATCAATATGCAATCAAACAAGAAAACAATAATAAACAATAACTTTTTGTAATACTGTGCGCGAGTGTAGTGGCTAGATGACCTTCAGCTGTAACTAGTTTGACAAGGAGTATCTTCAGTCATAAGGCAACGCGATGAGACAAGAATGTGTAACTGAAAGAAGGCTTGTAATGAACTGACTTCAACCACAAAGGTCAGCAAAAATCCTGCAAATCAACTTTCCTCAGTTTTGACTTGAAGGAGGCACTGCTAGGAAATCGTAGAATATCGGAAGGCCGATTTTGCAACCACCGTGCTCCGCGATAAAACAAGTTTTTATAAGCCAGCAAAAACCTTCTTCGTTTTATTGGAGAATAGTGTAGATTAACAGAGTAGGAGCGTACACTAGCAAGCAGGAATGAAGATCCAATACTTGTTCGCTGAGAGATTAATCTCTTTACGTAAAACTCGAAAACAAAAGATGAGGTCAGACAACTTTCTGCGGTGCTCCAAGCTCCTCATACCGTACAGTTTGAGACGATCATTGTAGCAAATATCTTTCAGGGTTTTGTTTTCGGAGCATCTGAGACAAAGCAATCGCGTGAAAGTTTGTTGTACTTTTTCTATCCTTCTAATATCTTTCTTCCAATATGGGCTCCATATTTGGGAGCAGTATTCGGGGTGTGGTAAGACATGGAGACGTCTTCTTGTGTATCTCGGATGTTCGATGAACATGGAGAACGACTTAAGGAAAGAACCTAATATGAAGAGAAGAGCAGACTGGGTTGCTTTCAGGCCTTTGAAGGAAACCACGACCAACTGACGGACCCAGAAATTCGAGCCAATTTCTTTAACTCGTCCGTTCTCCCGGCGCTCCGTCAGGCAGTGAGACTCGGGCCGACACCGCAGCCACGTGGAAAGCTCTACGTACGCACAGAGCGCTCGAGGGCAGTCTTCTGAAGGTGAGCCGAGCCCCTTATCGAACTTCGCAATACGGATATGAGAAGAATGTCCCATCCTCGTGACCCAGCGGAATACGTGGCGAAAGCGAAACATCGATGGGCCGGTCACATCATGAGAAGAACAGACGACAGATGGACACAAAGAGCATCTGAGTGGTTTCCTCGCGAAGCCAAACGTCTCCGAGAAAGACCACTAACGAGGTGGGCGGACGTGTTTGTGAAACGTTGACAGCTGAGGAATCAGCTAAATACGATTTTTGCTCTTGGAATTCTTGGACTCAGCCACCGACGACAATAAAAATATCGTGGATGTCTGAAGCGAGGGACAGGACCAATGAGAATTCTGTGCCCAGGCCCGCACGCCACATGAAGAGGGGCCAACAAAATATCTAAGTAAGTCCACAGAAACCACGAAGTGCGCGTACTTCTATTTTAATGGAACACTTTCTCAAAATGCGCCATCGTCCGCCTTAAAATTGCCCATGTGCTTTTAGAAATTAGATTATGACATCTTTTTTCGATAAATAGTGTTCAATGACAATCAAATTTCAACTCGCAGAAACTTTGGGAGTTTTCCTATTTTTTGCTGCAGTTGCGTGCTTATGGCTTTATTAAACATCGAGATCTCCGAAAAATTCTTAAAGCCAACAGACACAAAGATTCAAATTACCACCGTACAGTCCGAGGTTAAACTATTGGTAGCATGTTAATCACTTCCAAACTTTGGGGCAGATTTTTTGAAAATTAGCCGAACTTTGAACACAAATGACGGGTAAAGAATCTTGACATTTACGAAAAAGCAAGAGATTATGTTTCGAAAATGTAACCACAAGAAAGAGAAGGAAAAGCAGTATTTAAATTTTGTTGGAACTTATTTGAGTCTTCATTGCACCTGTTTTTACAGTCGTTTAAAAAAACAGACATATTTTTAAGACAACCTAATGTAAGAATGACAAGTTGGTATAATTTGATTGAATAACCAAAGATTGTATTCCAGGGTCAACGTGGTGCTTGGAAATATGCCCGAGTTTAGTAAGGCATTTCACTGTGCCCCAAACACTCCGATGAACTCAGCAGTACAGCAATTCCAAGTATTTCTTTGATTTGACCTTGCGAGATAAGAATAAAGATTTCTTGTGTTCAATTTTGTTAAATGAACTGCAGCAGACAGTATAAACTTTTTGCAAAAGTAACGAACTCATCAGCGTTTGGAGATCCTTGAAGCTTGATTTTAAAGGGGAGTAGTTGAGCTCAATGTGGTGTTTGCGTTTTCAGACAAGTAAATTCCGTATTCACTTTTTTGTTTCATAGTTATATGCAACTCGTCAACTGTAAGTATGGTCTGCATAGTTTTTTCCTTCATTACTACCACCACAATGCAACCTATACGTTTGTCTAACGCTTCGAATAAGCAAGATCTAAAACGGTATGAGAAGAAAACATAAAAGTGCACAGGCGAAGTGAGAGGCGAGAGTAACTACTGAAAAATTCTCGAACACAGATTATAAAAAGTATCAAATTGATGCAAGACTGACATGTTTTTTATGTCCGCACGGCAGCGTAAATAACTAGAATGTAAAAACTATATTATTTGATAAAACAAAACAAATCAGGATGACGTTCAAATAACAATGTAAGTGTGCTACAAATCTGCGCAAACTGTTTGATTTTTGATGATCAATGAAAAAATTTGATTCTCCTTACAAGGGAATGGTCAAAAATCGAAGTGGCCATTCAAAACAAGCTGCATACCGTTAGATGCAGCATGAAGCGCTGACTCTAAATCTGTCTTTCTTACCTGCTTATCGCTTTTCTGGACGAAGCTATAAGCCATTAAATGCCATTATTTTGCTAAGAAATTATGCGTGAAATTGAAAATTTAGCCGTACAGAGAAAGTTCGCCTCAATGCTGGGCCAAAACATGTCGCTAGCTTACTTAAAATTTTTGAAGCCAGAAGCCGAGCTAAAAGCGCAACATTGTGCTCAATTTCGCTGTTTTTATGTATGATTTTTTCACAATAAAACCGCCTGTAGCTTCGTCCGCAGAAGCGGGAAACAGATAAGGAAGACAGATTCGAAGTCAGAGTTTTATACTGCATCGAATGTTATACAGCTTCCCTGGTTTGGCCACTTCGACTTTTGACCATTCCCTTGTTAGTGCAGTCAAGTTCAAAGTTTTAAGGAGACAGCTTCCCTAACAAATCTGCGTCTCCAACCATGGTTCGAAAAGTACCGTTCTCGCCCAAACGGGTTTCCGCCATATTCGACTCCTTGAATTGAATTTTTGATAATGCGATTTTTACCAGGTAAGCAAAGTAATTTTAAGTCGAGGAGTTGCTATGCCAATGTTTGAGCCAAGCCAAGTGTGAAGAAGTCGGCGTCTTTGATACTCTCTTTCGCCGAAGGCTGTACGCATTACTATTAATAAATTGAATGCGTGCGAAACTTGACTGACTTGCGGGATGAACGTTACCAAATTAGCGCTTCATTCTGATGGGCTCTTATGTTTATTGACCGCCTCCAAATAGTGAGGGGATTGAGTGGTGGGACGGGGAGAGGGGGAGGGGCGGGGGGTTGATTCGGCCTGTCTAAAGCAGTGTCTCGTTTTAGTACGTCACCCATCGCCTTGCTGTTAACGTGAGTATTTTGCCATATTTTTTGCCTCATTCCGATATGCCACTCATCGCGTTGTTGTTGAGGTGAGTAGGACGTGCATTACCAAGAAACCCTTATAATAGTTATCGCGTTGACGGCAAGTTTTTTTTGACGTCTCTCCCTGTAAACGACCATTTCTAGGCATTTTCACAGTTGGCTACATATACAGGGTGCGGCAAAAGTCTGGGAGCCTAATACTTTTTCGTACAAAACGAGAAGGGAAGTACCTAGAAACGAAAAATTTAGCGCACACATAATTCGAACCATTGCAGATACAGCCCAGTTTTTGAATTGCAAAACTGCCTCTTTTGGCTTCCACGCAGCCCTACAAAATCTTGGCAAGTCCACCTGTCATGGCACGCAGGTAATCGTAATGGAATTTGCCCCACTCCTTCACAATAACTGCTTCTTTTACCTTGACAAATGTGCAGCACAATAGAGCAAACTTTTGTCTACAACATACTTCCAAAAGAATTTTTTGCGATGCTTAGGAATAAAAATATTGGATTTTGAATTAGAAGCATGTGTACGTCGCATACCGGACTTTTGGCTACAATTGCGCGAATAAAAACTTGAAAATATCGTTTAGAAAGTATAAAAAGTGTTTCCATGGCCGAATTTCATTAAATTCTAATTTAGAGGACGTTTGCAAAATATATTGCCTTCATCCCAGTGCCTGTTGAGCATTCTATAGCTTTTAAATTGTTCTGAAGACGGATTTCCATTGGCACGTAGGTAACATTCGCAAACTTTCATTTTCCGTTTATGCAAGAACAGCTCCTGGCAAAGGCAAAACTAGGATACAATAGCGCAAAGCCTCTTCTATGTTGTGTGCTTCGAAATTTTGTAAAATATTAACAGCATCTCTAGCTACAGCAAAAATTGTAAATATCAAAAATTTTGGTTTTTTCGCTTTGCAGAAGTACTAGTTTGGTAATTTCCATTCCTACAAAAACGTATGGCAGCCGTTTCCAGTCAAATAAAGTGTTCTGTAGAGGATGACCGCAGCATCATGTGGCATAAAATTGAAATCAAAACCATCAGTATCTTTGTAATTGCAGTACTGCAAATTTAGGCTCCCAGACTTTTGCCGCACCCTGTATAATGCACGCACAAGGCATGCGTTACAAAATTGTGCAAGTGAGCGGGAGAGCTCCGCCCACTTTTGGCAAGCCCCGCTCACTTCTCGAAAATGCCAAAATTTGCACAAAATTGACGAATTCATGCAAATTCCGGCACTTTTGGAAAGTGGGCAGGGCTTGCCACTGAGGGTGCAGCTTGCATGACTAGGGGCAGTGTTGAAATTAAAGGTATTTTGAGATTCCCCAGTCATCTACGAGCTTCTCTAAGCGATTTGACAAAAAACTAAACTTTTTTGTAGAGGGCAACAGTGTGGGCGGAGTTGTCAAGAAAGGAGCGGGATCAATTTGAAATACTTCTGAGCCCGAATTGATTATATGGACAGAAATTAAAACCACACTGCACATTAGAACTTATATTTAGGGTGTCGCACACCATTGTGCGACATTGTCCTCAATGTTAATAAATGCTCCAGAGTTGATACACCTCTTCTTCAAAGTCTTGCTTCGGAATGGAAATTTTTTTAGAAAATTTTGCGTTATTTCTTACCTCTTTGGTACCTTTTTCTTTTTCTTTTTTTTTTAAAATCTTTTGAGAAATTATTGCGAGCTTTAAAAAAGAGAAAAAAGTTGTACTGTATTCTATGAGCTTTGCTCTGTCGAATCCTTACTTGATCTCCTTCCGAGAATCGATATGAAAGTTTTGAAAATTTATGAAACTTACCATCTCAAAAAGCATAGGTCGCAAATTTTGGTTATTTTCTGGAAGCTCATTGACTGTTCTGCAAAAATTTCATGGCCGTTAAAAAGAGAATGAAATGCTGCATCGAATGCATCCAAAATCTCTTAGAAATCTTTGTTCCATCAATTGTGGCGCCCGTTTGAGAAAAGCGAAATTACTTTTGAAACGACCTAATATATATTTTTTTATAAAAAATTTTTAATTATTTATATTAGGTTGATTCATAATTAATGCACGTTTTTCGAAATTCATATTCAAAGCGTCGTAATTCGTTTCCCACGTCATCTTTTAAAGAGCAATAAGAACTGTTGCAGAGAGCAAATCCTTGGCTTTACAGCATATATTTTTGTTCATAGATAAATGTGACGAGAAAGTTTGTACAATCCGAAAAATGCCAAGAATTTTTTTTAGAAACCTCTATTTTGAGAAAGCATAACTTACTCTCAAAGGTAGGAGAAAAGCGCAAGCTTTGCTCATTGCGCAGCCAATGGTCAAGAGAGAAGTGGCAAAAAACCCGGATTTTACGGTATTTTTCTACGACGAGATATTGCTATAAGTTCAAAAGTGATCATTTTTTCTAGCTTTTTCAGAAGAACGAAAAATTGTCTTTTTTGAAAATTTTTAAATTTTTTGCCACTGAAAAGCTGTAAAATTTCACCGTTTTTCTATCACTCAATGTGCTATGTCTATTCTTTGTGCACAAAGCAAAATCGCAGTCATTGGTTCTTGTTTCAAAGTTCTATACGACTTCGAAAGGCCACAATGACCGGCCAAGTTTGTGGTTGAATCTCTCATCTCAGAACTTTTGCAAAATTCTGCTTTATAGAGATTTCTGTAGAAGAAAAGTTCGCCATTGTTAGGCATATTTTTTGAAATTAACATCTTTTGTCCTCATGAAATTAGAGCAATCTCATATTCCGAAGCGTGGAATTCGGTATCATACAGAGCGTCACGAAAAAAAAGGATACACAAGAAACTAGAAGAAACGCTCTTTCAGATAGCGTTGAAATTTTTGGAAAAGATTCAGTATCCTTGAAAAACCAGCGCTTGGAAAAAGAGGTAACAAAAACGTGCATTAAATATGAATCAACCTAATATATATTTTTTTTCAAAAATACAGGGTGTCCCAAAAGTAAGTACACACTTTTCAATCGTAAATATCTCTCGTCCCAATGGGTCTTTTTTTGTGATTCAAGTGTCATTCTGTAGAGGAGGCTTTAACTTAGATCTACAGTATTGAAAGAATCACCGATCGCTCTTCGTTACTGTAGGATTACGGTAAGAACTTCCAGCATGTGGAACCACTGTGAAATATGCCATCTGATGAAATTTTTTTCAAAAAGTCTGAAAAATCGTCTATTGGAGTTTTCGCACACGCTGATCCAATACACAACTTTTTACGACTGTGTTCAGCTTTTTTGACGGTGTAATCACATTTCTGACAAAATTGGGGATTCAGGTATTACGGTTCACCTGGGATAACTTGGGAAAGAAGCATCACAGTAAACTAGAAGTTTCATAATCAAAATCGGCGGCTTCGTTTACCATAGTATAAGAATTTACGTCTTGTTTGGTTTTGTTTCGAGGCAGAGATGGCCTCCAATGGCCTAAAAATCCTTGTTGAAGT